TTTTTCTAGAGCATATAAGACAATGATATAGCCTTTGTCTTAGCTTTTTTTAAGCTTCACTAGTGAAAGCATATGAGTTCACATGTCTTGCTTCAATGGCGGAACTAACATGCTTCAATGTCAAGACTAGCAAAGCTTTAAAGAACTGCGAAAAAACTGATGGCGGAACTAACAGAGATTTACCTATCCAAGATCTTGGTTGCTTCAATGGCGGATCTAACGGAGACTTGCGCTCCCCTTAGAACTGCGAAAATTTTGGATGGCGAGTGGCTTGAAACTCTAACAACTTTCGACCTTGCACTTGATCTGATGACTAGAACAAACAAAACCTTAAATGGATCTTTGATGGTGGAAGTTCGTTCGACTGAGAACTGAGAAAAACCTAAGATGTTTGTTCGACAGCCACTCTGCAACTCCTCTCTCGACCGTTTCCCCTACCCTCTCCTCTTACTCTCTCTCTCGGCCCTTTGCTCTTACTCTCTCTCAACCCTCTCTCGACCCTCTCCTTGACCCAAGTGACCCTAACCCTTTTGACGCAATGGGTACCCTCGACCCAATCCACCCTAACCCTTTTTTCCTTGATCCTAATGGGTCATTTGACCCATATAACCCACTACTGAAATGGGTGAGTATGAGTGGGTTTGGAAGTGGGTGGGTTGGGTGGGTAAGAAGGGTTAGGGTCGAGATTGCCATCCCTACTTATGATGGATCTTTTATGGGCGGCAAACAAAGAAAGGAGATGAAGAAATAAAATTTTTAAAAAACATAAAATAATGTTATTAAAGTTTTAGTCATTCTAATTAGGATTAAGTGAAGTGATTATCTTAAAAGAAATACATGATACTATGTGGTGGGGACTATACAAATATCATGCATTTAAACAAATCAATGTATGTTATATATTACATACTAGCGGGGACCCATGCGATGCACGAGATCTATTAAGAGAAAGCTAAATAATAAAAATGGTCATATACTAAAATACCCCTTATAGTTTTATGGATTTACTAAAATCTACCCTATAATTAGAATTTTACTAAAACACCACTTATAATTTGCAATGGATTTAATCAATCTTCCATTATATGATAGTGGAAAATGACAGTGTTGACCCTAATGTTCATATTTAATCAAAATAAAATAAAAATACCATTTTTGCCCTTAATAAGACACGAGCAACCACTCTATTGATTATATTTGGTCAATTTTGTTTTTTATACAAAAAAGTGTTAAGGGTATTTTTGAAATAAAAAATCATAGGCCTAATGGCAAAGCAAACACTCCTTAATGAAAGGTTAATTAAGTTAATAAATTGTAAAATATATGGGATGTTTTAGTAAAATGAAAACTACAAGTTAGGTTTAAGTAAATATGTAAAACTATAAGGTGTGTAGGAATGGCAACGGGGCGAGGACCATATTCCCCGACCCCGATCCTCGACGGGGATGGGTTCCCCGTGGGGACCCGAATCCCTAAAATGTTTTTAGATAATAGTATTTTTTAAAATAAATAAAAATTCTAAATTATAAATAATATTTTAAATATATTTTGATATATATATATATAATATAAATAATATAATAGTATATTTAATATAAATAATCGGGATCGGGATGAGGCGGGGACCTCAATCCCCATCCTCGACCTCGATCGGGGATTCCTATTAATCCCTATCCCCACCCCACCCTACTAAAACAATCCCCATCCCCAGCCCCATCGGGTCGAGGAAGTCGGGTCCTCGTCGAGGATGGGGAAAATTGTCATCCCTAAAAATGTGTTGTAATAAATGACCCTAATAGAAACACATAAGAGTATACAATTGTTTTACATTTTCAACTTTTTAAATAATTAATAATTATTCATATTTTATATACTACTTTTAATAAAATTTTTATAATACAAAAATAACAATAAATAATTTCAGTTAGGTTTATTTATCAAACTGATGAAATTGACCAACCTGATTAACTCGACCCGAGTTGGTTGATTTTCTAGTATTTTAGGTTGGCTTTCTTTCAAAAACTTTCCAATTTGACCAAGTTGGATCAAGTCAACATCCTAACCTAACCAGGTCAATTTGGTTGACCAAATAGCCTACAACCAAACCGAACCAACTCATGAACACTCATTATTTTAGCTAAATTAATAGTCTTATCTATGATAAATAACAATAGTTTAATCTCCGATAATTATTGAAAAATTATAGCAAAAATACACAATTATTGAAAATATATTGATAATGAAAAATACAATAATTACAAAAATTATAAAAACACAATAAGTACTAAAAACATATTAACTTAGTCAATAAATAGTATAATCTCAAATAATAGTTTAATCTCTAATAAATATTAATCAATAGCTTATAACAAAAATACAATAAATACAATAAGTACAATAAATTAAATTTAAAAATTTCAATAATAGTAATCTAATCTCCAATAATTATTGAAGGTTTTCTGTTACATAACAAAATAAAATAAATTTATACATAATCATTGAAAATACATTTATCACAAAAGACAATAAATATTAATTTTAGTATATATAATTATATAATAAATACAGATTAAGAGTTTAAAATTATTATTAATAAATATTATTTTTTTGAAAGATATTTTCTCGAATTATTACTTGATATAAGTGAAATTAATTATTTACAATATTATGCAAAAATATTAAATTATTATTTATTTCAATATTATGTTATAATTATTTTTATACTTATTAGATTTTTTTTTAAATTTATTACATAATTTCTTTATTTAAATATTTAGTTATTTAAATATATTAAATTATTATTAATTTCAATATTATGTTATAATTATTTTTGTACTTTGAATAGACTTTTTAAATTTATTACATAATTTCGCTATTTTAACTATTTAAAATCTAGTTATGATAAATATTTAGTTATTGAAATATTTAAATAATCTATAAAATATTTAATTTTTTTTAATTTGAATTTTTTTATTTAAAGCTTTTTCATATTATTAAATATTTAAAAAACATTTAAATTGATAATTCAGAAAACATAATTTAAATTATTAGTACATAATTTCGTGATATATTTTGTAAGAATATAAAATTATTTTTTGTGTTTTTAATAAATATTTTAAAGTTACTATATAATTTTGTTAGAATATTTAAATAATTCTTAAATTTTTAATCCAAACTTTTTATTTATAGATATAGATAAAAGTAGGGCAAAGGATAAATAGGAATTAAAGATAATTTTGGAGATAAATATGAATTAGAGATAATTTAGAAGATAAATAGAAATTAGAGATAATTTTGGAGAAAGTGGGGGAGGTAGTTTAGGAGAAGAGATTATTTAGGTTATTGGAAAGTGCATCTCATTGGTTGTTTCAAAAATGACATGGAATAAAAAAATAAAAAATTCAAAAAAGGAGAAAAATCTGTTGATCGCTTTGTTTTAATATATATATATATATATATATATATATATATATATATA